GTGCTTTTTATAAGAGCCAAGCTATGTAAGAAGCCCAGGACCCTGCAACTGATGACTGGATCAAGAAAATACGATATATAGATATGTATATATATATATATATATATATATGTATATATATATACATACATATATATATATGTTTACATATATGCGCACAATGGAGTATTATTCAGCCATAAAGAAGAATACAATTTTGCATTGCATTGCATTTGGATTGTAATTGTGGGACAAAGAGGAATGGGGAAAAGCAAAACAATGAGGGAGAGTGAATGAAATCAAACTATATTGATACCTTGTATGAATATAGTATAAGGAAACTCACTAAAAGCTACTAAACAAGAGAGAGGTAGGGAAGACAAAGGAAAGAAATGAAGTATGAGAGGTCTATCTGATTTATTATATGCATGTGTAGCATATCACAATGAAATCCCTTGGTATAATCAATATATACTTAAAAAAGAATGACAAGAATGTAAGGCAGATTCTCTTAAGGAGGGAGGAAGGTGAGTGGAGAGGGTGAATAAGGATGACTAGTATTTTATTTACATGTAGGAAAAATAGAAGAGTGAAACCTATTGATACTGTTTGCAGAATGGGGAGAAGGGATGAGTGAATGATAGCTGGGGTGAATTCGATCAGGCAATACTGTATGCACATATGGAAACATCATGGTGAAACCTCCTTGGACCACTAATGACATGCTGAAAAAGCATATAAAAACTCAAAAACTCAGAGCTAGTTCAAGGTTCAATGCTGCTCAAAGTACAGACTTGATTCCAGGTTTACTGGGTCCTGATGGAAGGCAATCTGAGTGGGTCATGTCAGGCAAAGGAGTCAAGGTGATCAAGCCTCTGGGGAATAGTCAGGAATTCCTCATTTGTCCATCCTTGAAGTGTGCAGCACACGGTCTGATGAAGGGTCGGTGTGTGTGCCACATACCTGCACTAGGTGCCTTCCTTTTATGATTTCAGGGAGTAGTTTTTCTTAGTTCTTATTCTGGTACAACAGTAACTTCATGGGCATGGTTTGGTTTTTTGTTGTTTTGTTTTGTTTTAATGTGGATTGGACACACCCAGGAGTCCATTTGGTCTCGATTTAACTTGATAAGTTCCTAGGTGCTAATCTTTTATTTGTACAAGTGAGTCATTTATCAGTCTGTCTGGTGATTGGTGCTAGACAGAGGGTGGTTGTTTACTTGTATGAGCAAACAAAGTATAGCATCATTCGTCTTCAGCATTTGCGTTTGGAATGGAGCAAACTGTTTTGCGAAATGGAGTAACTCAGAACAAAGCAGAGTCTGAATGCAACTATTATATACAGTATGCAGGTGCCTTGGAACAGGGCATAGCCTGATGTCTACAGGTCAATTGAGCATGGAGACTCAAAACATAAATAATATCCCAAAGCATGGCACTTGGACCTCCTGAAGAAAACCATGGTTGTGCTGACCTTCTCCTGCCTCCTGTGTCATCCTTTTTCTCTTTGGGAACACAGAGAGGTGTTTTCCCTGAAGCATATGCATTCAACTAAAGGAAACTCCTCCATAAGGAATACAGGTCTCTTGAGGCCTCTCTCCAGGATCTCATCAAACAAGAGAAGACTAGCTCAGGAGACTAGAGGGCAGTAGCACCTATTCTTCTAAGAAATGCTACATGACAGACTTTACCTGCACAAGACAACAAGTAATTGCAGAGTGAAGACACTGTGGGGATGTAGGAGATGACAGCCATCTGAATGCAAGAAGAAAATTCTAAGCAGAAAAAAATAAGCAGCCAACACTGTGATTCTAGATGCTCAGACTCCAAAATGGTGAGACACAAATTTCTATTGCTTAAGCCATTCAGTCCGCTGTATTTTTTTTAATGGTCAGTAAATTAATAGAGATATAAGTTCTTGGCAAAGACGTTAAAGCAGCTATTACAAGAATGCCACAACAAACAGTAGCAGATATGATTTGAAGTAACTAAGGTAAAAAAAATACCTCAACCAAGTAATGAGAAAGAAGAACCAAATGCAAAGCTTAGACAGAAAAGAAAGTGCAATAACCACAAATATAAACAAAATTGCTGGATGAGCTGAAGAGCAGGTTAAGGAAAGCACAATATGGTCCATGCACCTAGAGATACATGAGTATAAATTACCCAATCTGAAAAAACCAAGAGAACTGAATGAATAAAAATTATAGTGTCAAAGACCAGTGGAACATTTTTTATAATTACAACTTGGAATTTAGGTCATTAGAGTTCCAGAATAGGAAGGGGGAAAAATTTGAAGAAATAACGGCTGAAAATTTAGCAAATAGGACAAAAGTTTAAGCCTGCAGGTTGAAGACGCCAACCAAAATCCAAAGAATCCCACATTGTGGTATATTCCAATCAAATTAATGCAATCTACAGCCATAACTCTTGAAAGCAGCCACAGTGACAGGATGCACTATACAAAGGGGAACAATTTGCAAGACCGATTTCTCATCAGAAATCATAGAAGAAGGGAGAACTGAAGTTTTAGAAATTAGACCAAAAGCTCAACTCATAGAAGAAATAAAAAGTGGCAGACCAGACTTCATTAAAATGAAAAATGTTGCTTTGTGAAATCCATTATTAAATCATTAAAAAGATAAGCTACAGGGTAGAAGAAAAGTATTTTCTAATTGCATAGCTTATAAAAGACTTGTATAGATACATATGAAGAACTCAGTGAAGTCAATAGTAAGAAAACAAAAGCCCAGTTTAAAAATTGCATAAGAACAGATGCTTCCTTTAAAAAGATGGAAAAAAAAAGTAAAACATAATTACATAGCAAAGAAATGCAAATTAACCAGGTGTTGGTGGCTCAGCTCTGTAATCCTAGCTTCTCAGGGGGCTGAGATCTGTGGATTGTGGTTCAAAGCCAGTTCAGGCTGAAAAGTCAGTGAAAATCCTGTCTTCAATTTTACTTACAATATTATCTCAAATTCACCAGCCAAAAGCTGGACGTGTGGCTCAAATGGTAGAATGCCAGCCTGAAGCACAATAAGCCAAGTGACATCATGATCCTCAAGTTCAAGCCCCAATACCAGCACCAAAAAGAAAATAAATAAATAAATAAATAAAAAGACAGGAGGAAGGGAGGAAGGAAGTAAAAGAGGGAGGAAGGGGAGAGGAAGGAAAGGAGGAAGGAAGGGAGATGGAAGGAAGGAAGGAAGGAAGGAAGAAAGGAAGGAAGGAAAGAAGGAAGGAAGGATGGCAAAAAGGAAGGGAAAAGGAAAAATGCAAGGACGGACATGTATTCCCATAAACTCTGCACATGAATGTTGATAGCAGTTCTATTTCTGATTGCCTAAACCCACATGTTCTCCAGTGCACAAGTGAATAATCTGGCATATCCACGCAATGGAATACTGCAGGGTGTTTTAAAGGAACAGACTCTTGATACCTGCAATAATTATCCTGGATAGATTTTAAAGAAATCACATTGAAAAAACATTCAAGCCAGCCTCACAAGTTCCCATTTTATTAAGCACTCTTGAAGTGACAAAATTCCACACAATGCTGGAGAACCACCAGTGGTTACCAGGGTTTAGGTTGAGAATTCATTCTAAAGAGGTATCACAAGTGTCATAACTTTTGTAAGTGCTCATTGTGAAGGGATTTGTACAAACCATCGCTGTACTGACTCACAGAAACATACTCCAAAAAGGCCAACTCTCTGTTCAATACTAGAAGAAAATTAATAAAGGAAAACTATACTGTTCTAATAATTCATGTGACAAAACTATTACTCTTCCCAAATTTAAATGATCACATATTCAGACCATTGCTACAGTAATGAGCAACTAGTGTAGAAACCTGAATTATAGTGGGGAGTTTGTCGAGTTCCTGTCAGTATTGACATGAAGGTTGACGTCCACTGAGGAGTCAAAGAAGACAAGGGCCAAGACCAACCTGAGGCCAGCTGCTGGGTGCTGAGAGCGGAGGTTGTGAAACAGAGCCAACCAAGAGTAGGTACTTCCTGAGACAGAAAACATCGGTCTTAAAGGGAGGTTGAGCTTTTAATTGGTGACTTCTTCACCTCAAAATCACTGAGAAGATTGTTTCCAGTAGAAAGAAGTTGTTCTTTTCAGCCACCAGACTGAGTTCTACCACTTCACTCTTAGCACAGTGGTAGAAAGGGCATCAGAACAAACGAGGTAACTTGTAGAAATACTAATTTCTGTGCATCTACACCCATCCAGATAGATTTAATAGACACAAAAATACATGTGGTTCAACATAGATATGTATTTTGTACATAGAGAAATATATAAGCTTTTCCTATGGTTTTAAAAACATATCTGTAAATTCTTTCAGTCTCTTTCATTCAAATAGTGTAATACAAATAAATCCTTTCATCTAGAATGTAGGCCAGTCTTTGTGACTTGGTGACATACTTTCAACAAAAAAAGAAAATAGTACAAGTAGAGAAGTAGCTCAGTGGTAGAAACAAGCTTAACATGTAACAAGGCCCTGGGTGTGATCCTTAGCACTAGCATATATAAGCACACATGTGCACAGGCACACACACACACTCACACAATACAGTAGAGGTAATATTATGTGACTTCAGAAGTAGGGTTAGAAAAATGATTTAGCACCTCTCTCAATCTCTCTCTCTTTCTTTCTCTACCACTCCTCCTTTCTCTTGCTCTCTGCACATGGTTTGTCTGGGAAAGAATGACTACCATGTGAAGACATGCACACAGCCCTGAGGAATAGCCCATAGACAGAGGAATTATGGCTTCTCATGAATGTCTAGCACCAATGCCAGAGGCCATGTAAAAGAGCCACCTGAAAAGAGGTTTCTGCAGTCACCAGATGCAAAACAGCTTACACTACTCCACTGAAACTCTCATGCAAGAAAAGCCCAATCAAGGTATCTTAGACACAGATTAGCATGATTAATGATAAAAAATGATAATTTGCTACTTTATACCACCAAGTTCGGCACCATTGGGGAGAAAAATACAAAGCCTATAGGCATTAGAATTCAAATGCATGATCTTTATTTAGTTCTCATAAGTAGAGCCTCTTAATAGCAGATGAAAAATCTGCTGTGAATCTACCAGAATTATTGGAGCACTCAGCACAGAGTCAAACTTTGAGACCAGGTCTCAAACTCAGGACATGTCATGTAGGTTTCATGACTGGGAGTTGTCACTGGGGATGCAGTCATAGGAAGCAGGTGTGGGAGTGTTGATTGGGCAGAAGGAGGCTGAGATCGGAAAGCTGTCATCAAGGTCAGCTAGAAGAAATGAGAGACAAATGAGTCAATTCAGTTAAAACTCTGCAAGTAGGTTTGAACTCGTGGTATGGTGTGAAAACTGGGTGAAAGACAGAAACACAAGGTGAGAAATGGGCAGAGCCATGAGATGGCTTATATTCTTTTAACTGTGGGTCAGAAAGCAGGCATTTATAATAGAACAAGGCAAGGATTTCTAAGTGAAAGCAGAGGTGAGCACCCAGCCCTGTGAGGAGTGAAGAAGGTGAACACCCAGCCCTGTGTGGAGTAAAGAAGGAAGGAAGGTTGCTGGTAGAAAACGAACTTCTAGGATGGGACACAATGAAAAACACCTGAGGAGGTCAGCCCCAAGACAGGCAGTTTCTCAGCCTTCTGGCTACTGGTAGGGTCACAGGTGTGTGGTTAGCACTAACATTTGCTTCAAACGTGTCATGTACCACGTTGAGAGCTTATACACATTTCATGCACTTTATCATGCAACTTCCTCCATGAAGAAAGCTCTATTGATGTGACCATTTTCTCTAAGAGGACCCAGAGACTCACAACGTTGAAGTCATTTTGCCCAGCATGACAGAGCTGTTAAGTAGCAGGACTGGGCTATAAACACTTGTCTCTAGTTTCAGACCATGGGCAACCACCCAACACTCTAGAAATATGGATGTTTGCCTCTAATTCTAGTACTTGGGAGGCAGAGACAAAAGGATTCTATGTGTGAGGCCTGCCTGGGCAACTGAGCATGGACTTGCCTCAAAATATTCAAAAAGGAAGAAAAGAGAGAGGAGGAAAAATAATAGTAAATACGTGTGTGTGTGTGTGTGTGTGTGTGTGTGTGTAAAATAAAATGTATGTTAGTTGCTACATTCCCACCTGGAAAAGCAGAAAATAAGTGACTCCGGTCACTAAGTGATAACTGGAGCTGACACTAGAGTTTTAGACCATCTCCAAGGAACAGAAATGACCTTTAGGTTTAAATAGACCAAAGAATTAGGGCCATACGTAAAATGTCTGCGTAATTATTCAATGTCTTAGTTACAGCAATGTTCTGGCAGTCAGAGGTGGTGGCAGGTCTTCTGGAAGCTCACTTTTGGGACAACTGGTCAGAAGTACCTGGTTGACCACTATCTCAGTCCATGTCTCCCAGGGGTTCTGGAGAGTTGTTAATGGCCATCGTCACTTGAAGCGGGTGGCCATCCAGTTCTCTCGAGATGGCCATTTCCATTCCAGGTGCAGCCTCATCATGATAGGTAATTATGCTCATCTGGGGGCTGGCTGGTTTGTCTACTCATCCTTAGGGGTGGTTTCAGTCTTTCATCCAAAATATATCAGTCAGACCGACCCTTCCCTCAACCCAAGGTGACTGCAAAGCAACTGTAGAGAGAATGATTTAGAGTCAAGGCATGCAGAACGGAGGCAGGGCTGCCAAGCTTTTCTCCTGCTTTTAATGAATTTGTGGGTCCATGCTTTTCAGCAAAAGCAATCCAAAAACCAGCCACAGTGTGAACCACAGGGCACCCAGTACTCCTGTGAGCGGCGGGGAATATGCCAACAAGAACCCCAAGATAAGCACAATACTCCCTAGTGTCTTGGGGTTTGGCACTGGTGACCATTTGTGCTTTCTTGCTGGCACCCTTTCCCAGATACAGATTAGAAGAAAGCAGGAAAATTAATTTAAAAACAATGCAAAAAAAAATAACCAGAAAAAGGAAATTCACCCTGATATGTTAGCTTGCTAACCACCCTAACTTTGCAATAAATAGAGACTGCAAATGGGAACAAAATGCATAAAATGAAAATAAGCAGAGTGAATCATGGCACACAGGCCATACAGTATATAAATATTCATGTTCGATTACCTCTTAGTGGACCCCATGGTTTTCCTTACATACAGATCTTCCCGGGTGTGACTTTAGGGTGAGTGTGCACAGTAACTAAGACCTATTAACACAAGCCTGAATAATGGCTAATCCTTCCCAAAGCCCCAGAGGCTCAAGCACCCGCTCTCCATTTGGCATGAAAACAGTAATCTATCTCTATGCCTCTCCTAGTCAATAGAAACTGAGCTAGGGGAAAAGGGAGGAGAAAATCCCTAATCTTAGCAACAGTGGGATCTGGTATTTTAGCCAAGGAGCTTAGAGGAAGAAAAAAAAAAACAACAACAAAAAGCCTTATTGAAAAGTTCAATGCTAGGTGACCAGGTTCTGAAAGACTCTTTTGTGTCCATGGGGACAGGGGGTCTGTGGCCAAAGAGAAGTGAAGGTCACCTCACGGAGTTGATTTCCTGCCTGGCCCAAGGATCTATTCCCTGGCTGGGGAGCAGAACCATGGCTGCAGAGCCTGATACTGCCTGACACAGCTCCATGCTCTTAGATGGGAAGGCCAATGAAGAGAGCGAGTTCAAAGGTCCACATTCCTCCTCCCCTCCTAATACCCTGGCCTCTCAAAGACCTTGGGGTTAAACTGCAGTCAAGTCCAATGCTGATAATGTTTATCTTACTCTCCCAAAGCAGCCTTAGCTGCTTCTGGCCCAAGGCAACATGCTAAAATGGAGTTATTGGAGTTTTCTTACATCAGCAACCCAGGAAGTCTGGTATGTGTGTGCTTCTGCGAGTTTATGGTGGTCTAGGCCCCTATGCAAGTGGTCCTACAAATAGCAACATTGAAGTACTAAACCGGGCTTTGTCCTACGCCTCACCAAACCCATTCTACACCATTTCCTCCCAAGAAGGCTTAAGCACTGCTTGGTATATTGATGCTAACTAACACAACAACAAACACCTTCCTGTGCTCACAACTGTGGGATGGGTAAAATATTCAGGGGTAATAACAACTCCATGGCTAGTGCTGTCAGGAAGCACACAGGCTCTGGACTCAGACTTGGTTCGAATCCTGGCCCTAGTACATACATTAGTGTAAGCATTATGCCCACCTTTGGTCCTCAGCTCCACCCAGACCTGAGCTCCTCCCATCCCTGGAGTTCCTGCCATACAGCTGGCCCCTCCCTCTCTCCGCCCAGACCCATCTGAACTCCCATCTACCTTACTTCCTACCCTCAGACCCTGCTGCTACCTAAATAGTGGAGGCTGCCATGTGCTCCCTCTCTGGGGCAAATATGGCTCCTCTAATAAACCTTGTAATCATCTTTCTCCTGTGCCTGCCTGCCTCTGCATGGTCCCCTGGGATGGATATAATGGATGCTTTCAAATAGTAGAAAGTAGGGCAGCAGTTCTCCACTGAGCACATGTGAAGATCCACAGAGGTGTTCCAGATGTTCCCGATTCCTGGGTACAGCATCTAAGATGAGGAAGCTTCTCTGGGTGCAGCGAAGGAATCATCACCACTAAGAATAAGAACATAGTAAAAAGTGATCAGGAAAGCAAAAGTACACCGGGAGGGATGCTGGAGGCAGGTTAAGAGTCAACACCGTAATGGAGACCATGCTCCTCAAGGTATGCGGCCGGGCGTAGAGTAAGGGACAAATGTGCTGAGAAGCTGGTGGCGCTTATTTTTATCTGTGAAGGTAGGGTGACTGCATGGTCCAATGATCAGACCATCCTCTCGTGACCTTTCCCAAATGGTTCAGCCACTGAGCACTGCCTACACATTTGATTTGGCCTGACCATGTGATCCATTTACCTTTGCCAGGGTAACCAAGGTAGGGATAGTAACCTCCGTAAGGAAACAAGGTGGTTGCCTTAATCATTGGGCTCTGGAGTGTGGGCTGTCTGGAGGTTTTCAAATGGAGTTTTGTAGCTCAGGGCATTTCTCCATTCTTGTTCCTGCCTATCGGCTGCCTGTGACAGCAGAAGCACAGTGGCCACAGTGACTGGCACGTACACACCCCATGTAAATATTTTCAGGTATTAACTCTCTTACCACTTGCAGAAATGGTCCGCTCTCACAGGTGTCAGAGAGATCACAGCCTCACTGGCTAAGGAACTCTTTTAACAGAGCTGTGAATCCATCTCGGTGGATGGAGAGCCAGGGAAACGAGGGAAGAGTTGATGGTGAGATCCTCGCTACTCAGGAGGCTGAGATCTGAGAATCGTGGTTCGAACCCAGCCCCGGCAGGAAACTCCATGAGACTCTTATCTCCAATAAACTACTCAAAAAAAATCCAGATGTGGTGCTGTCTTTCAAGTGGTAAAACATTTGCCTTGAACAAAAGAAGCTCAGACCCCGCCCAGACCCACAATTCAAGCTCCAGGACCAGATCTACCCACCCCACCTCATCCCCCCAAAAAAGTACCAACTTGCCATTACCTGGGTTGTGGAGGAGGGACACACAAATGACTCTGTGATTCCAGTTAAGTCTTGCTTCATTCCCTTACCTCTAAAACACTAATAACTCTTTCACATTTAATCTAGAATACAGCAATGCTATCTGTCATAGCTTAAGTTCATTAGCTACTTGGTGGCATTTGTCCTTCATGTCATTACTAAACAGCTCGGCAACACTGTGACTTTTTTCTGTTGCCCTCCACAGCCATTTCCACTGAAGCACTTTGCTTGCTCTGCCTTGAGAGACTGCTCTGCACAGATACCATCAGCAGCCTCTAGTTTTCTCTTTGGCACATTGAGGCCCCATTTCCTGCCCCTCCAAAATCCTCAAAGAATCCATATTCTTTTCTGAGCCATTGCTTTGGGGAATAGTATTTGAAATCACATTTTCTTCATAATAGAATGTTTCAGATGCCAATGGAAATGGCAGGGAGCCCCAGGAGAACAGGGATTTAGAGAAAGGAGCTAAAGTAAGGTCATATTGCCATAAGGTCATTTCAGATAGACTAAAAGGCCGTGGCTGTTCTTACAGAAGCCTGTTCTAAGCACCCACTCCTCACTCCTGAAACTTCTTTCCCCTTTCTTTCCTAGAGGCTTGGGAATGCTCACAGCTACACTGTTGGTAACTCTGGGCTGCCACTATCTGTTGTGGTTTTCTAACCTACTTCTACACCTTTATAACTTTCCCCTCTGTAAATGAATCAACCTGAGTGCATTTCCTGTGGGGATTTTGATATATAAGGTACAATTATTGTACCCACTTAATGGGCAACTCTGAAGAAGATAAAACACCTTGGCCATGACCCCACAGTTAGTGGGCAGCTGAGCTGGATTTCAAGGCTAGCTCTGTCGAAAGCCAGTCCTGCAGTTCTTAGCTGCTGTACTGAGGCAGCAATAGACAGCACCAGATAAAGCACTAAGCTAGTGGGCCTAGATTGATTAAACCAGGGCTTGGCATGGTGGGCCTAGATTAACTGCGCAGCGGCTCAGCAGGGAAACATGCTGTGGGCAGAATACACAGTATTGTGTGTGATGAAGGTAGTGGTGATGAGGAACATCTGCTTCTACATATGGTCAGCTTGTTTTCCATGCAGATAGAAGGAGGCAAGGGTGGAGAAGGGGAATTCTCAGCATCCTCAGCAGCTCGCTGTCTCCTCGACCTGGAGTCTGCCTTTGTTGGCATGGCAGAATGTCCACTAGAACAGAGAAGCTGGGAGGGACTGGCTGAGACTTTCTCGCAAGGCCCCACTGGTTTTCCTGTAACTGTCCTGACTGAGCCAAAGGGAGATTCCCATCGATGCCAAGACCAGTTTAAAAATAATCAAATAACTGGGTATGGCGGTGCAGGCCTGTAATCCCAGCATTCATGAAACATGGAGAAGGGAGATCACAAGTTCTCATTCCCCTAAACCATCCCCCTATATATATATAGAGAGAGAGAGAGAGAGAGACAGACAGACAGACAGACAGACAGACAGACAGAGGCAGAGACAGAGACAGAGACATGGACAGAGACAGAGACAGAGAGGATATAGAGAGAGAATGTACACACACACACACACACACACACACACACACACACACACACACACACATATCAAACAGCCAGGACATCAATGGTTGTTTATTCCAAAAGAAAAATCAGGCCACCTTCGTTCCAAGAGCATCTAGCTCACTCACAAGACGCCAGGAAGATCTGTCCTGGGAAATAACGAACTATGTTACTGAGCAGAACTGACCTCTGCATGCTGTCGTCTGTCTTCCACCCCAGGAAGCCGAATGATCTTTATTTAATGCTGAGACACCAAGGCTTCGTCTGCAGAGTGAGGAAATTTATCATCCCAGTCCCCAAGTTACACGAAGAGAATATGTTAGCTAAAATAGTGATACGGATTTCCATAAGTGATTTTTACTGTGAAGATGGAAGGAGGTCTTCTTTCTCTGCCTAAAACACAACAGAGTTGAAGCAAGGGCTTCAAGCAGTTCTGTTACTTCCTATCTCTACATTAACACCTGCGGTGCTGAACTGCAATGGCAGATGTCTCCCCGCCCCCTTCTCCCCAGCTCCTCCCCACCTACACTGGAAAGCAATGTCCTTGTAGGTGGATGGCAAATCTCTTTCCTGTCCATGTCTCTGGCCCAGCTCAGTGCCTGACACACAGCAGGTGCTCAGTGCCTACTGCAGGGTAAAGAGATGCAGGGAATGGATGTTCCCAAAGCCCCTGTGAGGGACTGCCATCACAGCACTTGAAGTCCATATCGACTTGTCAGCTTCATCCACAACGGCAGATATCGTATTTCATTTAATTTTACACCTCCGTGTTTGAAACATCATGACTGCTCAAAAGACATTTTGGAGGAAAAAGTGGAGTGGAGGAAAATAAAACTTTATTAATGGTTGCCTTTCAGCATTGCCTGGGAGATAACTCTGCCAGCAATTTGGACTCATGGCTTAAAATCCAGCCCACCATATGCCTTGCTCTAAAATGAACTGCATTTCCATCACTGTAATGGTCCCATGGAGAAGACAATGGAAAAAGAGCCTGGTAGGTTGAGTCTGGTCAACTTGATAAACCTCCATGTCAATTCTCGAATAATTTTAAGTGCCCCTTCCTTTAGGAAACTTGCCCTGTACCTCAAGAAAGTTTAAGAGTCCTTCCTTTGGAGTGCTTCACACTGCTCCTTATTAAATACTTAGTGCAACGCTTTGATAAATGCCCAACTCTCCAGACAATTCCTTAAGTCAAGCTTATACATGTGTTGTTCATTGTCGTATACTTGCTCAGCGTGTCAATACTAAATGAATGGATGGATGGATGGATAGATGGATAGGTGGACAAGTTGTTAGTCTCTGCTAACTCACATGGCCCATTCTCACATACTTACTTCTGGTCGACAGTGCTTTCTCTAACACTAGCCATTTTAAATGGCATGTGTATGTTTAGATGTATGTGTAAGAACTGAGTTTTACCATGAATCACTCACTTACTCCACCTCTCACCTGTGGGTATTATTCTGTGGGCATGATGCCTGCAGGTATCCACATCCTGAATATCTCATAAAACAAAGCCATAAAATCTACCCTGATGTTTCTTTCTGAATGTGTTTTCTATAGAAAACCCTTTTAAAGAATCTGTACCCAATAAATTGTGATACATCCATACAATGGAACAGCATTCAGTGATAAAAGGAAATGAACTAGCTAGCCAGAACAAGACACAGAGGAAGGTTAAATGGATATTGCCAAGTGGAAGAAACTAGTCTGAAAAGTCTGCATGCTAAATAATTGCAAGGAGAAGATACGCTGGAAAGACAAAACTGTGTAGACAGTTCAAAGATCTATCGTTGCTAGGAGTGCAGAGGTTGTTAGGAAGGGGAGAACTGGACCAGCACAGGGAATATTTAGGGCAGAAAAATGATTCTGTCTGTTCCTGTAATGGCAGATACATAGTGACATGCATTCCTCAAAAACCATACAGTGAACTTAATGCAACCTGTACACTTGGATTTGACAATCAAAGGGTTAGGATTCTAGCTCTTGCCTGACATGCATGAGGCCCTGGTTCTACCCCCAGCACTTCCTAATAAATAAATACCAATATTGATTCATCAATTATAACCAATATATCACACTAATGTGAGCTATCAAGGGGAATGGAAGAGGGGTATATGAGAAGACTATTTTACTTTCTGCT